TTATCAATATATATGTGTACTTTGTGTACAGTATCCATGGTGACGTACTCTTACCCACATATAAATTAAAACACTTGCTGCATAATAAACTTACTTTTATTTATGAATGAAAATAATCGTTATGTATATATATGTGTAATTTGTGTACAGTATCCATGGTGACGTACTCTTACCCACATATAAATTAAAACACTTGCTGCATAATAAACTTACTTTTATTTATGAATGAAAATAATCGTTATCAATATATGTGTGTGTACCATTATCTACATAATTCACAACTTCTAAATAAATATCTTGAACAAGGGAAACGTAAACTTTCAGTATACATAGAGACTAGAGAAAACAATCTCACCTGAGCAACAAGAATAATAATGGTGGCCACCAGGGTGCGCATTATTTTTGACGTACTCTGTAGATGTCTGTGAGAACCTGTTTGGATATAGAGGTATTAAAAATAAAATAACATTTGTTTATCACATGTTTTTTTATAAACAAAATTCCTTTCTTATCAATAAAAGAATTACACTTGCTCGGCGGCACGCTTGAGGGCTTATGGACAAATTCAGGGTTAAGTCCCTGCAGTGGGCACAGCGCAAATAGCCCACTTTGCAGTTTTGCGCTTAAAAACAAAACGGACAAAAGTACTTAGTTTATTTTTACGTTGTTAAAAACAAAACAGTAAATGTTTTAGAAATGTCAAACGTAGGTAATTCGAAGAAAACTTATTGTGATAAGTTTTTAAATCACACATTTTTCCGAAGTCTGTCTCAAGGTTATCTTGCCAAGCCAGGATGTTACCCAGACATCACGTCTTCCACACTGTGTTCATCACACCAGGGATGTTTCTTCTTCTTCTAACAGTTTCAGTAAATAGTTTAATTACACGGATAAGGCATGGGGGGAACTCCCCTTCAAAATCGCGTTCCGCAGCTTGCCCTCAAGGTTAAAAGAATTTCTGAAAATGTTTGAGTATTGTAGCTGTATGAGCGTAGCTGTTACCAAACGCTAGCCTTCCTAGGTGTTGCTGAGTAACCAAGTATGTTTTCTTAGGTTTAATACTATCAATAATTAGCTGTGAATAGGATAACCTCCCCCCCCCCCTTCCGGGTGTTCTGTATAACAGCATTAGTCTTGTAACGACCTTTTGTGTATGTAGCACATTTAGGCTGGAGTCTTTCTTGGGAGGTTGCCGTGGTTAGTAGAAGTTAAAATGTTTGATCTGTGTAAAGTTATTAGTGTAATATGTTTTAGAACAATTTCGCTACAGTTCTTATCCATTAGTGTATTATCAAGTTGGTAGAAATACAATAGTAGCGTTTCTCTTTGCATTGATTTGAAAGGATTTATTTGGGTATAATTCCAGATTTACGGATTAAATATTGTATGTATATAGCGAACCGTGGTGTCTGTCCGAGCGTTCGTCTGTCTCCCGTTTGAAAAACTGTGCACGCAGGCAAAACACAACATTCACTTTTGAAATGACGGGAGAACAGACATGAATAATGTTGATGCCAGATTTTATTTCGTAAGCAGGATATTCTACACTAAATTGTTAGCAATTAATAACACTATCATTCACATTTTAAAATGTGACGTAACTTAAATAAATTTACCGTATGGTATTGTTGAGCAACTCTTAGCATTACTGAAATGTTCAACAATTACTTTTCATGGTGGGCGGTATAAGTAGCTCAGAGCTTTGGCTCCGAGTGAAACCGAGAATACAACACAATTAACCCATTTTAAAGTCTATGAAATAATTTAAATTGATAGATTAACATAAAATTTTCCCGTCACTGGGGACGGGTACTTTTGCTTATAAGATAAGTCGCTCAAACTTCTAAATTGTCGTTGGAAAATAACGTCCGATAATGTCATGTTACTTGGTGTTAGAAGACTGTCACGAGATGTTGGGCAGTTGTAAGGTTACATTCCACTATTCTTTCACACGTCATTATAACACCGGGGTCATGTGCTGTGTTGACACCCACTTGTCTTTTAGGACGAAAATAGCCTTCCAAACATGTAGAAACAAACTGTTTTTAGTGGAACTAGTGAGGTTGCGTATAAAAATAGATGTGGATGGACAATGTCCATCTGATGATCCAAAAGTCGGCGACAGTTCTCTAGAAGTGCCCACCCCCCCACAACAACACATGGTGGTTTGTTTCAGAATTTTTACGCAAGAATACACAAATACTGGTTGCGTATGGCCGTTTCTAATTTTAAACTCATAGACTGAAGATAAGACAGCTGGTCAATAGTACTTAACGCCAACATTTGGGCCACTTTTATCTCATCGAACAGTAGGATTTGACCATCACCCTTGTGGCGCACCCACGCTCTCGAAGTGGTGACGTGTTTTTACAGTAACGGGTCGTGAACTGTGACTTCGGATTAACCACTAAGCCACGCCCGTTAATAAGCGAGTCAGTATGTAGAAGTCGTACTTTGTTGTAAGATAGCTATAAGTAGTGACGAAACAACACGTTGGGTACATTAAAGATAACTGTAGCAGTGATTATCTTAAACAACAGCTTTTATGGACAAACAATGATCACTTGCGGGGCAGGATAGACATTACGTGTGTACAAACAATGATCACTTGCGGGGCAGGATAGACATTACGTGTGGACAAACAATGATCACTTGCGGGGCAGGATAGACATTACGTGTGGACAAACAATGATCGCTTGCAGGGCAGGATAGACATTACGTGTGGACAAACAATAATCATTTGCAGGGCAGGATAGACCCTGTGTATACAAACAGTGATCACTTGCAGGGCAGGATAGACCCTGTGTATACAAACAATGATCGCTGGCAGGGCAGGATAGACATTACGTGTGGACAAACAATGATCACTTGTAGAACAGGATAGACATTGTGTATACAAACAATGATCGCTTGCAGGGCAGGATAGACATTACGTGTGTACAAACAATGACCGCTTGCAGGGCAGGATAGACATTACGTGTGTACAAACAATGACCGCTTGCAGGGCAGGATAGACATTACGTGTGTACAAACAATGATCACTTGCAGGGCAGGATAGACCCTGTGTATACAAACAATGATCGCTTGCAGGGCAGGATAGACATTACGCGTGTACAAACAATGATCACTTGCAGGGCAGGATAGACATTACGTGTGGACAAACAATGATCACTTGCAGGGCAGGATAGACATTACGTGTGTACAAACAATGATCACTTGCAGGACAGGATAGATTCTACTGTCTAGACTATTAAACGAGTGTTTCAATACGATCAAACAATGATCACTTGCAGGACAGGATAGATTCTACTGTCTAGACTATTAAACGAGTGTTTCAATACGATCAAACAATGATCACTTGCAGTACAGGATAGATTCTACTGTCTAGACTATTAA